ATAGTAGGTGTCTTCTTTGTTAGTCTTTAGTTCACATTGGGTTCTCTGGCATAAATATCAAAAAAAGAATGAACAAGTGGATGGAAAACCCCTTACAAAGGTTCTCTTTATAGTGTCTTCATTGATCCTCCTTTGTCTTTCTTCACTGAACTTCTGCTGAACACAACCACACATTTATGTTATTGGACATCTTTGTTTGGTGTTGAACAATCTATGAACTAGATTCAAAGGAGAGATGTAACTCTTTAACTTCTTTTTCAAAGGCTTAAAGGAATTCTAATGTTTTTAATTGCCGGTAATCCCCTGCATTCTCTAACCTATACACAAACCATTTCACCCCAGGCACTTAGTAGAGGAGCCAGAGCAAGGCTCTGTCTCTGCAGGGCTGGCTGTTCAGAAGCATACACATGCCAGCTGCCAGGCAGCTGCTTTCAGCCGTGTTTGCAAATAGACGCATTAGCTGCGTGCCCAGAAGGGCAGGCATTCTAGGACCTAAAGCGTGCAGGCCACTGTGTTGGTGTTTTCAAGGTCTGGCTAGATGGCATATGTGCTGTATTGTACAGTCACAGTGTGTACTTACGCATGTGCTCGGACATACGCTGTATGCCTCGTCCTGGAGCAAATAAGGACTTTTCTGGGGAAAATATAGATGCATGTTTAAGTAGCATTCCCCTAAGCACATAAGGCTTCTGTTGCAAGGACTTGTCACAGATACATGAGGCCACCCAGAAAATACTACAGGCTGAGAACTATTAGGTGCTTTTCCTTCCTATGAACAAGACAGCCCTAACCACAAACAAGCATTCAACATGTGCCCTGATAGGATGAGGCCTTGGCTTATGGACTGTCCATCCTAGTCTCCTGAATGTTTCGTTGTGGCCATTACCAGCCTGCTGCTCTGCCAGCACAAAGCAGCTTTTTCTGTCTGTGTCTCCTTTGAGGCAGTCACAGCTGACTGCTCATAGTGTGCTAAGAGCAGCAGTGTGATAACTGGGTGTGCTGACTAGCAACAGTGGGTTTGTTGTATGTAGGGTCATGTGCAGCGTTAAGAAGTTGTAAGCGCCCAGGATTTCTCCACACATTTGTCACATCAAGGGTGCTGATTGTCTAAACATGGCCTTTTAGGATAGTTATCGTCTCACAGAATCAGAGAACATGAAAACTGTATTTTAGTACCTAAAGAACATGGTCTGGACTCAAACTCCCAGGGTTCAAGAAACCAACAAGACCCATGAAAGCTGGGTGACCTCTTCTCTGGTTGGGATATCTGTTTCTGGTAGGTGGTCAGCCTTGAAACCATAGACACACAACAAAAACAGACTCAGCAGGTTCTGTTGATATATGTTTGTACATACAGATGCACATATATATGTATAACAAATATAATAAAAGGAGACTAACAACTTGAGAGTGGGGGCACATGGGAGAGGTTTGGGCTGGTGACTGGGAGGAGCTGGAAGGAGGGGAAATGATGCAATTCTATTTCAATTAAAAACATTAAAAATAAAATACACTTTAAAAAAGAGCCAGGAGATTAATGCTCTTAACACTATGCATGGCACTCAGTGCCCACTCCATTTTGAATGACTGTTCGCTTGCAAGCCCATTCGTTCTACATCATCTACCGCTGTGAACCAGCCCTCCCCACCTCTGCTCTTTCTAGCCCAGTGTCAGCAGTCACTTAGAGAGTGGCACAAGGTACATTTTGGAAACCTGCCTCTGCAACAATCAGTTCTGGAATCCATTTGATACCATAATTTATTTAGTTAGGCCCAGAATAGTTGCTCTATTTCAAGGTTGTCAAGGTAGTAAAATTAGACCAGCAAGAATGCAGGTGTTCTGGCTTATACTGTCTTTTGTTGGCCAATTTACCTCTCTGGTAAAATGAGGAAAAGAAATTGAAACATGCTCACCTAATGGCTTATTGGATATTGCTTGACCCCAAAGATGGGCAGGCACATGAGACTCAAGGTCCTAGTTTTCCTTTTCTGCACTGATGGGTGCACACTGTGTGTCTGAATGCAGTTTTGACTTATTTTCTTGCCATTGTCATTTTCTCTTTTCAGTTGTGAGCACAGTGCTTACTTGTTTGTATCTATATCCCCCATGGTGGTTTCCACAGAGTACGGTGTTGTCAGTGCTGCTCAACCCAGAGTCTCCTAGAAACTACAGAGCTGCTGTCACTCTTTCCAAATTAAGACTTAAAGACAAATGGAACCTTTTTGACAATTTCTTTTCCAAACACAGGTGTTCCTAGAGGTTTTTAGGTAGGTAAATAGATAATATTTTAGTTTGCTTCCTGTTGCTGTGACAAAACACCAACCAAAAGCAACATAGAAAAGAAAATTTATTTCTCCTTCAGTTTGAAGTCCTTCAGGAGGCAAGTCAGGGCAGGAACTCCAGGCAGGAACCTGGAGGCAGGAACTGAAGCAGAGACCATGGAGGAGCAGAACTTACTGACTTGCTCCTCTGGTATAACTCCCAGGGATAGCACTGCTCACAGTCTGGGCTTTCCCACATCTGTCATTAATCAGGAAAGAGTCCCCACAGACTTACCTGCAGGCCAAACTGAATGTGGCACCTTTCTCAGTTGAGGGTTCCTCTGTTCACGTGACTCGAGCTTCTGTTGAGTTGACTAAAAACTAACCAGGACTGATAGATACAAGAGCCAAGTCTAGTTGTGAAGCTGTGCAGATTGGGTTTATCTTTAATTCTCTGTGTGGAATCGGTTCCTGCTGATACTTGTAGAACACTTCAGTGTGGGATTTGACCCTTTGATGGGAGCGGTTGTGTGCCCAGCAGCTCCTTCTCCTGGTCCTCCAAGTCCCAAGCTCTTCTCCACTTTTCACCTTTGACAACCACACTACCGACAAAATCATCAAACTTACAATTTCTTTTTGAGGAAACACCAAGCTGTTTTTATTTCTCTCTTGTTGCTATAGTCACCATTTGAGGCGCAGGAATGGTGTGGTTGGTATAGGCAGTTAGTTAGCACAGGACTTGTACTGGGTATCTCTGTTCCGAGGATGAGACCAGGTCACATGTATGCTGGCAGGTTGTTGAGTTGAGGTGAACCACTTCAAAGACACAGGATGGTCATGCTTACCTGTGTAGGTTGGCTCTAAATAGATGTTTTTTTCCCTCTGACCGTTACAGTCATTTAATTGTACGTAAGCAGTTATGTAATTATAGCAATGTTTCCGATATTAAAAGAAAATGTATAATAGTTGGTTGAAAGTCATGTTTAAAGATTTTCCTACAAATGGGCTGTGCATCAAGAAAGCTAGCACCCAGGGAAGACATGCGCCCTACTGTCCAGTCAGGTGGGATCTACTTACAGCACGGCCTGCATCTGGAAGGTGCTGTGCAGACCGTGCTGTCGAGTGGCCATCAGAGACCCAGGACTGTGCACTAACAGCGCAGGAGAAGAACCTGAGCATCCGCTCTCAACCATGCAAGTTTTTACTGAAAAGAAGAACATGGTTCTTTGAATTTCAGTTGTACAAATAAAGGCATCACGGCATAATTTACTGTCCATGTTTTCTCAAGGTGGAGCTATTTAAATCTACCTTTGAAATAGAATGAAAACACTTTAATCTGTAGCTGCAAATGAAAATATCGCCCTCAGACACCCAGAGTAGTTAGCAGGCTCTGCATGGTGGGGGCTGCTTTTACTTCCCTGTGTCTCACTCCACTCCACGTATGGGCGTGGCAGGGACTGCATGACTGTCTGTAGACCTGAGCCGTCCCTGCCATCAAGGTCTTCTCACTCTGACTGCAGCCCAGACAGCGCCACGTGACTCTTCTTTGCTGCTCACGAGGGCCTGTGGTTGTCCCTGCAATCGTGTCCCTCCTGTGCCCAGGGGGGTTCCTCTGGTCCCTTGCCACTCTGGTCCAAAGCCTGATTGTCCCCTAAGTCCTCTTCCCCCCTCACCTTGCACCCCTAGTCAAGCTAGTGGATACTTTTGTAGGTTCCCACTATTGTGCCTCTCCTCTCAAAGGCACACATTTGCACTAAATGTTCTTTTTTATTGGTCATTTCTAAATTACTTCTCTTTATTTTTTGAGATTATAATTGCATAATTTCCCCCTTTCCTTTCTTTCCTCCAAACCCTCCCATATACCTCTACTTACTAGGTCTCAAAATCATGATTTTTTTCATTGTTGCTACATGCCTATATGCATATATATATACATATGTATTTCTAAATATAACATGTTCAGTCTGTATAATGCTACTTGTATGTTTGTTTTCAGAGCTGACCATTTGGTATCAAATAATGGTAAAATTTTTTAGACATCTTCATTGTTCTATTCAATGAATTTAACTCATGCACATAAGTGTAACTTGAATTATCCAGACAGAGAACAAAACCATTACTCTAGAGTGTTCCCTCATGCCCTATTCCCTGTTGTGTAGGCAACTCTACCACTCAGTTTTGACTAGACTCATTTTGAACTTCACATAACAGGTTCCATCAGCTGTCTTTTGGATGAGGCACCTTTCCTCAGAGTGGGTTCTTGAGATCTTCAGAGTTCCTGCAGATCTGAGTTGTCTTCCCTTCTGGTACTGAGAGAAATCTAGAGGGACTTAGATGCAAGATTTCTGCAAAAGAACTAATACCTCGTTGGGTTTGAAGAGTGTAGGATGTACTTAAAACTCTACCAATAATCAAGCTGCCTGCGATTCTAAATTATCCTGGTCAACAGTAACTCAAAAGATTCAATCTGGTAGCGTCATTCCAAGTGGACAGCAATATCTACAGAAACAGAATTTCTTGGGAAATGCATTTGGGCCTAAGTCTCTACGCCAGGTGTTGCTTAAAGAATAAAATGCTTTAAAGTCATGAACAGTTTTAGGTCACAGGCTACCTGTGTCTTCATGTAAAGTCCTCTCATGTGAGGCTATAGGGCCAACCACAGTGTCGAGGGCTTTGGCCCTTTGTCTGCCCCTGGTGTCTCCGGGTGCTAACATTAGCCTCCTGTTGCTTTGGTTGCAGGCATGCTGCAGAAGTGCCCCTCCATCGATGACTTTGTGGATGCCCTTGTTTCTGACTTGAATCTGGACTTCGAAACTTTCTTCATGGATTCTAAATAGCAGAACATGGCTCATGCGGATAAGAAACTTATCACCAGATCCTAGAGCTATGAAACTCCATCTAATATCAGTTCACTGAGGAAATATTTTCTGACAAGCCTTAAATTGACGGAACTTGGAATAAATAATGTGTTTGAATTACACTGTGTCTCACCTGCTTGGCAGAATTTTGAGCATTTTTTTTTTTAGTCTATTTGTGAACCACAGAAGTTTCTAATTATAGAGTACCAATTCCCAGCTTGGTGACTATGTCCAGACTACACCGTTTCTGTTATCTCTAATTGAATGAGTTGGAAACTGCAGAAAGCTAAATTGTTGCGAGTCAGAACAATTTGAAGAGTTCTCAGAAAGAACACCCCTATTTTTTTTAAAGGAGGACTACCATTTCTTAAGACCTCTATTCTAATATCTTGGATAGTCAGCTACAGCAACCAAGAAGCCAAACCCAAGTATTGCCACTGACAGGCTGTCTTTCCAGGGTGTTTAGGTTCTACACCACTGGGCTCCGACTGGAAGGATTTGAACTCAGTCTTTGCTGGCTTGACTGGGAAGAGACCATTAATAGGACATGTGGTGGTCAAGTAGTGAGCACATAGGAAACCGATTCACATCTTGTCAGTCATCTCCCGGATGTTGCGAATAGGGGGAAAGAAATTATTCATGGACTTAAGGTGTCTTCCCCACCATTAAAGTCAAGCAGTTAATTGTAGCTTTTCACTCTAAAGTGGTTTCTGGTGGTACCTCTTCCTGCTTCTCACTGAGTGGCCAGTGACAACAGAAAGGAGAGTCTTCCAACCTGGGACATTCACAACACTCAGACTCTAGAAGCTTCTTACAAGCTCATCAGACCGAAAGGTGTCCTCAGTGACCTGCTGTGCTGGCCCTGCATGAAGGTGCTGACCCTTCTCACCTGCCCACATGTGCACATCGACATCTGGATTAATGGGATTAACGGGTTGGCACTCTGAGGCCCGCTTCCTATAGCTAGGATGGTGTAGTGTTGTCTGAGCCCCACTCTGAGGCTTGACACACCAGCCTAGGCAGCATCCGGGAGCCTGTTCAGAGTCTGCCAGGAGCAATCAAAGCAGGGCGGGTTGGGTGACGTTGGTGACAGAATGGACTCCAATGCCAAAGCCTGGCAGGGGTGGAGCCAAATTCCACCCTGCTTATTCTCCTTATCTGATTTGAGTACAGACGATCTGATTTTTGTAGACTTGCACTCACAGATGCCAGCTCTGTTCCGGGAAATGTCCTGGGAGTTATCAAGCTGCTGTCAGCTGCAGAGCCAAATAAAGAGGTGCTGTAACAGTCTCTATGGTGTCCCCTGGGTGCTAACTCCCTGTGTATTCATCAGTGCTACTTTTACCAGAAGCTTGGACTAGTCAGGAGAGTTGAGGCAGATTGGGAAAGCAAGGATAGGCCCCTTTAAGAGGGCTGTTTCTGATTCCTGGAGGACTTGGCAACTGCTACAGCTACTAACTCAGGGAAGGGAAGGGAAGGAATTTAGGGATGGGAGCATTCTGGGGTCTTATAAAATGTCCCCTGAGCCCACTTGGTTCTCTGAGGCTGTCATTTCACTTCCTTTGGTCTTTCCTACAAACAGTTCTGTGTCCATCTCACAGAATAAGCATTGGTACCCCAGACAATCATCCCTCATCCCACAGTCTCCACAGCTATGGGGTCTCAACTAGGATTTGAAGACCCACCCAAAAACGATGTGACCCACCAAAGTCATGATGGAGGACTCTAGATGGATGACTGACAGACAAATCCAGCATTCCAGCCAACCTCATGGAAGGAGAGGACCTCTGGCTGCGATTAGCATAACCAAGTCCCCCAACCAGTACCTCTTCGTTTCTTTGGGGACTGGTAAAAGTAGGGAGCCTGATCTTTGGGGAGTCTAATGGCTTTGAACTCATAAAGCTAAACAGAGCTACCACACTCTCCACTAATTGGAGGAACCAGCTTAAAATTCATACTTCCCCTCCCAAAGTAAGGTTTAGGCCACCATCCTAGAGGAGATAGTACACTGCTGGGGAGCTCTCATAATATCTGATTGATCTTTTTTGTTTTCATAGTGCTTGGGCAACGTGTGTCTCTCTGTGTGTGTGTGTGTGTGTGTGTGTGTGTGTGTGTGTGTGTGTGTGTGTGTTTGAGAAATCTCCACACTGATTTCCATAGTGGCTGCACCAATTTGCAATCCCATTCACAATGGATAAGCTTCCCTTCCCACACCCTCACCAGAATTTTTAATTTAAATTAGAAATAATCTTATTTTACATATCAATCCCAATTCCCTCTCCCTCCTATCATTCCATTCCCCACTGGCCTCCCTCTCCCCCCTCTCCCCCCACTTCTCATTCACTCCTCAGAGAGAGTGAGGCCTTCCGTGGGTTGGGCAGCTTTCTTTATGGAAGCGTGGACATGATCCATGAAAGATGAATACCCCTTAGTGGACCATCAGTACGTTATGCAGACCCCTTCTGCAGTCCCCTTTCTCTTGGCTTATTCCTTGTCTTAGGGTTTTCTATTGCTATGAAGAGACACCATGACCAAGACAATTCTTATAGATAAAAACACATGATCGCTTGCATTTTCAGAGGCTCAGTCCATTATCATCAGGATGGGGAGCGAGGAGGTATAGGCAGATGTGGTGCTGGAGCTGAGAGTCCTACATCTTGACTCAAAGGCAACTGGAAGTCAGCTGACGGTTACACTGAGTGAAACTTGAGGAAAAGACCTCGAAGCCCGCTTCCACGGTGACGCACTTCCTGCAAGACCATGCCTACTACAACAAACTGAAACTAAAGATGGCCCTACAGTAGAGACTGATCTCTCCAGTGCTTGATGGATGGATGTGAAGCATATATGAAGAATGCCTTCATCTGTGTTAACAGAGACTGTTGTCAGGTTCTCAAAGAAGGCTGCACTCCAGTACTGAAGAGGCACATAAGAGAGGGAAGAGAGCTTGACTGTATGATTAACCATCTGACAGCTGACCCGATTAGGAGTTTTGGAGACTGATTCTTGACCTGTCAATGAAAGTTCTGAAACAGGATGCGGAATGCTTCACACAGGGAAAACTCAATTTGACAGGGTCCTATTGCACTATGAAGAACAGCTGAGGTGCCAGAATTGTCCTGTAGACATCTCAAAGGAGACTGTGTCCCTCCATAGTTGGAACTGTAATACTTCACACTGTTTGGAAGAAAGCTATGCTTTCAAGATGAGCATCCCCTGAAGATGTGTGCTGCAAGTCACCTTCCTGACCTCCATGTGCCTTGTACGCCATCAAATGAGTCGGGCAACCAATTATGAATTCCTTTGTGTGTGTGTTTATTTTTTATTTAAAAAACAATGGGAGAATGTATATTTTAATAAGCAAGGGTGTTAATTTTTTGAAAGCCGCACAGCAAAGACTAGGAAATGTGATTTTATTATCTTTTTTCTCTTTGTGGGGTTTTGGGGTTTATTTTTGGTTTTAGTAGACCTTCAATTTAGACAGGTGGAGGAATGAACATCATTGTTTTGTTCTGGAGAATTCTTGATAGTGTTTCCCCTACACACCCCAAACTGACATAGTTGTTAAAATCTGGTGCTTTTAATTGTCTTTAAAAAGGAATTATCAGTGATTCAATTAAAATTAGAAAAAAAACAGCAAATATGCTGGAGGCTTGTCTCTTGGTGGTTCTAGGTTCTGTTAAGCTGACAGTGGGAAGCTTGTTTCTCTGGAGACAGATTAACTATGGGAGAGCTCTTAGAAGTGGAGATCACATGTCCCCTATTTGAAATTTGTCTGGTATGCCATTGTCACCTAGTGGAGTTCTCTTCTGATGTTTTCTTCCTGGCTCTGTAAGATACACTTTTCCCCCTACTCCATAGGGTTACAGGCTTCAAAAGGTAATGTTTGGTGGCAGGTAACATTTCTGTGTGCTTGTCCAATTGAAACATTTCTGCAACTGACTGGGACCCACAGTTTCTGCCAATGTCAAAGGCAGGCTGGATGACTCTTGTCTAGCTTGTTAAAGGATCCCAACATAGAATCCCATTTGCAGCATCATGAAGTTGAACTAGCTTCAGCTGGACCAGTGCTAACCTGGGGCCCTCCACACCTAACTCTTGATTAGGCTCTGCTTCTTTGGAGAGAAACTAAAGAATCTCTTGTCCCGAGTGTCCGTTTCATCTCTACTGCTTTGAAGTCTGGGAACACAAACCTGAAGGGGCGTAGGAGATCCTGAATGACATACCTGGTCTTTGCAAAGCTCCCTCCAAGAACGAACCAGAAGGAGCTGTCAGAGCTTCTGACTTGCAGCCTCCATGGTCACTAGTAGATTCAGCTCACAGAGCCAACTGGATTTTCTCCATGGGGCGAACAGGCGGGGCCCTGAAGAAGGCAGGGCAGGAAGGAGCCTGGAGGAGGAGCTGCTGGCCCATATTGTTACTGAGTAGGAAGCACAGAAGGCACACTGTAGGTTTACTGTTCCTCTCCTGAGCATTCACCATGGCCAGCATACAGGCTGGCTCCGTTGCCGAGCTCAGAAAGAAGTCGGGCCAAGTGGACTCAGAGTTTTCAAGTGGAGATCAAATTCAAAGCATTTCAATTGTAGTAAAGCATTATATGACACATGCAAATCCTGCTCTTGTATCGTTCTTCCTGGGTCCCATCCAATTGGTCACATTTTATCACTTTTTAAATATTTGCTGTTAGTAAGTTATTTCTGGGTCCCATCTAATTTGGGCATGTTTGATTTGTAAATAGCTCATAAAACAACAAATAAAAAGAAAACTGTGCTTACCCACACTGAAGGAGGCAGTTCTCACGGTCACTAAAGGTTGTCAGCAGAAATGGTCTTTGCCCTACATAGCTGAGCTAACTGGTGGAATGACCATGGATGGCCCCTGAACAGCCTGGAGATGGGGAGAAGAGAAAGCAGGGATTGGTCTTTGTCTCTTTCAGCCTAAACTCTCTGAAACTTGACCTTCCAGTCCCATGACAGACTTTCCTGGGACTCTTGAGTCATCTGAAATGTTTGAGGTCAGAAAGATGATTCTCCCAAACAATACAGTCTCCACAGGTCACTGGTTGATAGCCTTCAGTTGTCAAATCTAGGACAAGAGTGAAGCCAGACCCCAATCCAAACTTGTGACTTGAGGCCACAGCACAGCCTCTGAAAGTCTTAGTGCTCCTGCCTGAGTGTCCCCGCAGGTCTCCTCATGACTTCCCTCCATACAGGGCCACTCAAAGCCCAGCCCCTCCGGTGCTCTCAGTCCCATGATTTCTATACAGATGCGCCTGACTTAATATGGAGCTGGAGTCCAACAACCCCAATAAAAAAAAAAAAAAACTAAAATCGCTTCAGTGGAAAGTGGATTTAATATACACGGCCTGCCCAGTATCCTTTCTTGCCTAGACTACCTTAAATGCTCTCAGGATACTTTTTTAGCCTATAGTCAGGAGGCAAAAGTAACATGAAATCTATTTTATAATGTGGTGAATGTCTAATGTAGTTTATTGACTACAGCACGGAAATGAAAAAAGGTGGGTTTTTCACCCTCCATGGTAGGTTGGAGAACAGTGTCCCCACATTGTCACTCAGTCCTAAGAGCCAGTGCCATTTTCTTTATAGCACTCAGGGGTACCAAAAATGGCCTATTTGTCAGCTTAGAAGCTGATCATGTCACATCTGCAGCAAAGTTCAGTTGTGTTGGTTAACATTGTGGGGCTCATGTGGAAGGATTTACCATGTGTTAGCCCTCAGCTCCCCCAAACCCACAGCAGGCATGATTTTCACATAGCACCGGGTGGGGAACAACTGGAGGTAGGGCGTCAGCAGTCCCAGGTGGCTAGTGGGAATGTGTGGGCAGAGGGGATGCTGCTATTGAAATCGTGGGTGGATTTCCTGAGCCCAGATCGTTTACTAACACTTTAGGAGAGATGGAGTCCTTTTCCCTTACCTCCCTCCTGTAAGGACTAGGACCTAAAGACTCTGCCTGGGAAATTGCCATCCTGACTGCTTGCCCTGCTGGGATGCTTTACTCCTGAACACCCCTTGGCACAATGACTCCTCTTTGGGGAAGCCTGCATGGAGTGAAGAGCAGTTACAAGAGATGGCTGAGGGAAGTCACAGGACAGGTGTCTTGAAAGAGGCACAGAGCTGATTCTACTTCCTCATGAGCCTGGAACTCATATCAGGTAGGGGCAAAAGCTATTATAACTGCTGGAGGCTGCAGCTCTCTGGTCCTTGACATCATCATACCCACCCTCCTCACAGTCACTGCTCATCCAGAGTGGCAGCTGCTCAGCTTCAGGA